ACATCTTAATACTAATCTGGTACATTTTAGCACACACATCAAAGTGCACTTTAGCTTTAATCTAGTATATTTTTACATTGATAAAACTCATTTTAGCAATAGTCTAGTACATTTGTATCAACAATCTAGTACATTTGTATCAATAATCTAGTACGTTTGTAACAATAATCTAGTAAATTTTCATCAACAATCTAGTACATTTTAGCAACAGTCTAGTATATTTATAGTAATAATCTATTAAATTTTTGCAAAAATCTAGTCTTTTCTAGAATCGAGTTAGAATCGAGTCCAATTAAGTTCAATATAATAGAATCTAGCCTAATTCAGAAGAATCTAGTCTATATTTAAAAAAGAATCTATTCGCTTGAATATTTCTGAAACCAGCAAACCTCAACAATACCAATCGACCACTCCCCAATTTTAGAATATTTACTCCAACCCCTGATCACTATGATATAATTTTTAAGCATTCTAAAGTATTAGGAAAATAGTCGTAATAACAATAATAACTTCCAACATTTTTGTGTGTGATAAAATTCTATTTTTACCATTCAGTTTCAAATTTATTAAGAGTATGGAGTAAAATCACAATGCGTATATTCTGTTTCTTCATCCCTACAATCATGAGAATACTTCTGTATGTATATTTACGCATTATTAACTTGCCAATGGTGTTTACATATGCATGCGATGATGTTGATAATGATGTCTTCACATTTTATTCGAATATGAAAAAAAGGGAAAATGGAAGAAAATTGATAAAAAGAAGGAAATAAATTTTATAGCTAGTATGTGAATCTCTCAGCATATGGAACATTGTTTGCGTAAATAATCAATTATTATGAATGCACAGAAATTAATGAAACTTAATCAACTGCGTAAATTGAATTAATTAAAACTGATATGATTCGGTTGGAATTTCAGGCTGTTGGTAGCAAGTTTGATGAAAAATAATGAATTGAGTTTCATTCATATTTGATGTCTGTCTTGAATAATTCTTGTCCAAGATGAGCTTAAATTTACTGCATCATTAAAATTTCATGGAATATGCTGAAAAGGTCAGCGGAAGTGAATGTCATTAATGTAAATTTTCGGTACTGATAAATAAATTTTCAAACAAAATGGAGAAACAACTTCATTACATGGAATTGTTTTATGACTTTCTATAGGTGGAACTTTCCCTTGAATTGTCTTTTTCGATGAATGGACAATTTAGGTCGGAATGTGATGAAAAATTAATGAATTCAATCTGAATTCATGTCTTGTATTTGGAATATTTTTGGGGAATTTCCAACATTATTGATATAAAGCAGAAGGCTAGTCAAACAAATAATTGAGAACAAATGAATTTTGGTTTATATTTAAAGGTCGTTCATAAATGACGTTCTTCAAGGGGGGATTGGGAAAGCAAAAGACTGACTCTGAAGCTGACTAAATGTCAAGTGAATGTCTTCTCGTGATATTCGTGATACCACTAAATGCACTGCTTGCAACCGAGCCATGTGTCGGGATAAGCACTTTAAAGGATAGATTAAAAGCCTATCCAAACAACCTCGCCTGTAAGGTCGCAGCCCCATATTCAGGCTAAGAATGTTGAGGTCTACAATCAACTATTTCTGAACTCAATTTGTCCAAAGAAAACAACATAAGGTTAACAGGACTGGATTAATAACGACTCAACAGTGAGAATAACGAGTTGAACGTAACTTGTAAACGACCCATTTTCATTTCCCTTTTCAAAATTTTCCATACAAAAAAATCGATAAATGCCATATCACTCTGTCAATTATGCATTTTATGTCTGTATAAGCAAAGTTTTTATTACAAAAATGAGAACATCAATTCGGCAGTGAAAGTAGCATAGGTCAGTTACCGTTTAACGAATAAGTTTTCGCCAATAAAATCTACATTTATGTAGAATTAGAGTCAATTACCACATCACATGCAAAAACACGTTAATGAAGTTTATTGCCAAATTAGGTTTTTTTGTTCTAAATTGATTTAATTTACGAGGGAAATAACATCAACATTTAAGTAATTTCTCACTTAATTGAAACTGTAGAATGTCGTCTATATCGAATATCACAACAAACAGTTCCACCAGTCAGTGTCAATTCCTTGAAAATTCTTCTTCATGCTCTTCAAAATAGCATTAATAGGGGAAGTAATCTTCAAGATACTCTAGGTTATTAAAACGGAAGAATTTTCTTCTTCTTCATTCCATTTTACATTAAGTCAGAGATAAAAATTGTACGGCACTCTTGTAATACACAAGACGAAGTCATCTCTTACGTATGAGACATGTTGGGGAGAGAACAAACAAGTATGAAGTATGTTTATGTATTAAATGGATGTTTTGATGAATGAACATGAGGAACGACAGATAATTTAATTGGATGTTATATAAGACAGACCGACATATGGATGAGCAAAGGCACAGATTAATTAAAAGGAAATGAAGATAGCTAAAATGAGTAATTGAAAAAAGAAGTGACACAAACAAATGAAAAACGAATAAAATAGACATAAAAGTAAATGAAAATGAAGGAAGAATGTTACGTAATATTGAAAAATGTTTGAATAGTCCTTTAAAATAAGTAAGGACGAGGAACATAAATAAACTTAAAGTTTAATTCTGAAAGTAAACTTTAAACTAAAGCTGATGAAGCTTTTGGTAGAAGCTATGATTAATAAAGTAGAAAGAGACACAAAAAGTTTATGGAATCAATGAAGCTTTAGACACGAATGGCACAAGTTGGTTAATAGATCAGAAATCCGGAAACAAGCAGGTGTGACTCTGGCATGGTGCTGAATTTAAATTGAAGCCAGCATCTTGCTAGAATCATGCTTGCTTGGTGTTGGATTTCTATTCAATTAACCGACTTGTGATATTCACGAGTTAATGTTCTGGAATTACATTAAAATTGATTGAAGTTATTCTTAAAAGTACAAAGATGTTGAAACTGGAATTGAACCTAGATCTACATTAAACACTTCATGTTAAAGCATAAACAGCTTTTTTTGAACTCAACAAAGATACATTTTATCTTTAAATTAAAACAATATTCTTTGGAAAAATATCAACAAGCATCATGATCCAAAATGTCAAAAATATCAAATTACGACTTTACATTTTACACAAAATTGACTTCAATTGTTGAAAAATTTAACCAAATAAATTTTCAATTCAAAAATCACAGAAAGCTTCACATAAAAAATTCACAAAAAACTTTATTCTTTTTAAAAACCGATTAAACTTTCCACATTTCAATTAACAAAGGAAAAAATGAGCAAAAACATTCACAATTTATTAACAGCAGGAGGAAAACTCCTGTAGCAATCTACAGCCAGTGGATACAAAAAAAAGTCCATAACAAATGAAACTTTAAGGTGATTAAAAGTTTAAGTACATTTTTTCTCTTTTTCTTCTTTTTCATCCACAGGCGCTATGTGAAAAGTAAGCAAAAAGGGTAACAGAGGAAGTGGAATAATTTACCATATTAAAAGGAGATAAAAGTGCATGTGCATTAAAAATATATGTCATAAAAAAGAGTGAGAAAAAAATGTGCAGTTATTTCCAATTAATCGAGAGAAAGAAACTTTGTAGAAAAAGGAACTAGAAGCGATAGAAGAAAACTTTATCGATAACTGATGGAGAAAAAATCATAATTTAGAATGGATAATAATTTTTTCTAAAGTTCAAGTGAACAGTTTTAATGAGCGAAGAGCGTAGTTCAGATGATTGGATGTAAATTATTCAAAGCAGTCGATCGATTTGCATATGAGCTAGGGATGCTTGACAAATTATGTCTTTTTTTGGACGAGACGGAAGTTTGATTTTCAAAAAGCCTTAGTTTAGAGTTAAATTCATTTAAAAAAAGTCATGGGCTTGTTTTTGAAATGATTTAGCCTATTTAAGTATAATTTCAAGTTATAATGGCCAAAAATGCTAGATATTCATTGTGCAATCATTCCAGTTTCCTTTATAGGATAGTTTATGTCTATTTGCATCCCCGAGACGCTTCATTTCAGTTTTATATCCCAATAGACATGATTGATGAACAATCCTTTAGGGCATTCGATGTTTACTTTCTGTAACTGAATATAAGTTCAATTTTAGTCGATATTTACATGAACGACAAGAAATAAAACATTGAGTAAACAGACCCTAGCAGAAATTTACTAGTAATTTCCTAGTAATTTACTGGATAACTTTCCATTTACTACTTGCTATTTACTAGTCGAAATCCAAGTTCAAATCTTCGCCAAAGACCCGTATTTTCGCTTGCTAATTGACTAGTCAACCTTATAAAGGTGATTTCTGCGCGCTCTTGTGAAGTATATGGCAAATGCCAAATTTAGTACAAAATTTTTTATGACGCAAAAAATTCTTTTTTTTGATGATTTTTCGTAAGATTCGAACTTGAGCAGATTTGATCAAACATTTCACATGGTAATTTGCTAGTATTTTGCAATTTAATAGCAAGTGTAATTTATTAACAGTAAGTTGTTTTAATAATAACTAATATTGCAAGTAGTAGCATAGAAAGACTTGCTAGTTAGTCTCGCAAGGGAGAGGTTGAGAAACTAGAGCCGTATGGAACTAATTTTTAAAGTCTCAATTGGCACAGTCATCAAAGTAAAATTGTTTTCTTTTTCACAATTTCTTCTTTCTCTCGAAATATTAAGGAACGAAACACATCCATAAATAATAAATCTTTCTTTTTTTCTCGTGTGTGAATTTAAAAAAAATATAGAAAAAAATATTGTGAAAAATTTTATATATAAAATAGAGAAATATCTCATAAATAAGAAGTAATCGTGGAATCGCGTAACAATATTTCGTTCAACGCTGTTTCGTTGTTGCTTGCCTTGTCGCGGGGGTCCGTCGGCCCCCGGTGAAAGCAACAGCAAATTGGATAAAAAATTATCGACGGGAGGAGGAACCGTAACACCAACGACAGCACAAACGCAGACACCAACATATACGACATTAACAGCACTTTCATCACCACTAATTGATACGATTGTAACGACTACATTAATTGGAATAACGACATCATCTGTCACTACTTCTGCATCGTCACCTACTTTAACAACACCACTATTGTCTGAAAGCATTTGTCCATCACATCCTCTCGAATCATCATTTGTGGCACTTACTAACGCTTTAAATCAATTGCCAACTGCCGGTGCTTCCTTATCCTCCTCCTCAACTACTTATAATTCTTCTTCTATTATTGTCACCACTGCTAGCTCTTCTACGGCAACATCATCTACTTCTTCCACTAATAATTTACATCAAGAAGATCTTATTACAACAATATCCACTGGATCATTAGTTGCACCATCTACGTCTTCATCGACAGTCAACATTAATCAATCGACATCAAATAATACATCTAGTCCTCAGCAGCAACAACCGCAATCGTCACCATCAAATTTATCAACAGCATCACGCACATCACAAAGTCATTTTCCATTAACATTACCCCATATTGATGAGGACGATGAGGATGAAAATGGTCAAGGTATCACATATTTACCATTCAACAAACAATATTCATCGATTCGTGTAGTCGAAAATAAAGTACAAAACGACAATCTTATAAATTTAAATGCGAATTGTAACAATAATGTTAAGAGCTTCTCATCAAACGATTGTACGTCGGCATCATCGTCGAGTAATTCTGTATTGACACCATCGCCAAAGATAAAAGTTTCTAGAGTTAAATTCAATCAGAATCAGACACCGCAGCCACAACTTCCATTATCACTCTCGTCAAGTGATTCGGAATCGTCTGTTACAACAATCCAACAGCGCGATTGTGGTGGTGAAAGTAGTGATAATATATCGCCAAACAAAATGCAAGCTGAAAGTGGAACAATTGCAGAGCTACAGAAATATCAGAATAAATATTTAAGGAATCGACGACATACGCTTGCAAATACAGCAATTAATGTTCGGTGAGTTATTCATTTACTTACTTTATATCGTATCGTATAACGGATCCATATTGACTGTATAGCTTTACGTACAATATCTATGGTTATTACATCCTCAATATCATAGCGAGGAAATGTGTGTGGATTGACTCAGGGTTGGAAAAATGACATGCTGTGGTTATTAGTCTGGAAACTATAATTAGGATCGAATTTCGATCTTATATCTTTAGGAAACTAGATTGACCATGTTGCATGACGACAAAGTTTTAATATTGTCAATTAAAATGATATTAGTAGATTCCAACCCTGCAATTCCACCGCTTGCAACATTGACGATATTGTATAGCACATTAGATTTTCATATTGTTCGCTTCTCTTTATATAGTTTCTATAACATAACATAAAAATGAAAAAAAGTGTCACATTCTATTTAATGGAAGAAATCTGTATCTCATGGATGAAGTATATTTAGACTTAATGGGAAAAATATCAGAGGGTGTTAGTGAATGTGTAATATGATTTTGATAAAAAAAAACTTTTTTGATTTATTACTTTTCTCTTTTTAACAAGAAAAAAAAATATGAATATACATGAGCCGTACGGCAAAAAGAAAATCAGACCAAAGCTTCATCATCAAAATGAATTGGGGAAAATGTGAAAGCTTCAAAGTTCTTTATAGATTAGATTACACTGTCATGGTACAGTCGTTTTTTACGATTCAATAGTTCAATTATTTTTGAAATTTTCAAAAAAAAAAGTTAAAGCTTCTGTTTGGAAAAACTCTGCACATAAATGTTGCTAAATCTAGTTTTTTAAGATAATTGATAGCTTTTATATGGTTGAAAAATGAAAGCAAAACTTTTTCTTTTAAACTTTAGGTTCGGTAGGGGAAAGAAAAGATCGAAAACTTTTTCTCAAATCACAACTCAACTCATTTATCATGTATTTCATGGATATAGTATATATCTATAAAATAATCTTGTTTAAACCATTATAAGAAAGTTTCTATAGATTGAAAGTTTTATTATTATTTTAGTACAAAAGGATTGTTTTGAGTGAATGTTGATTGTGAATATGGCATATGGCATAGCTTGATATTCTTAAATATGTAGGCATTACTTTAAAGTTTTAATTTTTATGAGTTTATGAAAAAGGCAAAAGCTTTCTTTTGATCATAAAACTTAAATTACTTGAATATCGATATGGTTGAAGGAACAATCTTTATCTTATCTACGTTTAGTCATAAATGAATAAGGCTTGAATTTTTGGTAAAAATCAACAATTCTTCTTTCTGGTAAAAATCAACCTTGTAAATTTGTAAGCCCTTTCATATAAATATTTAATCTGTTTCTGATCTTTAAAGAATAAACATCGTTGTCATTGCATTAAATCCGCGAGGAATCTTTAATTAAACTTATTAATAAATAAGAAATGTGCTTATAAAACCAACAATTCTCTTTTAGGGCCGTTCACTTATTACGTTACGCAAAAAAACTTTTTCACCCCCCTTCCCCCCATTGTTACAATATGTTACAACTCAGAACCCCCCCCCCCCCCCCTGAACGTTCATAATTTATTTTATTTTGAAAGATTTTATTTTAAAAGACAGACGACAGTTAAAACGTTACAAACTTCTTGACAATCCCCCCCCCCCCCCCCCCTATGTTACATTTTGTTTCAATTTTTTAAACCCCCCTCCCCCCTAAAATGCGAACGTAATAAGTGAACGGAATTTTGAACAAAAATATTTGAAAATTTAAGGAAAATATTCCAAATTTTCTCCTATTTAGCAACAAAAGAGCATCAGTAAAAGATGAATCCTTACATATATTGTTTCTGAGTAATCAAAACATCAGCAAAGCTCTTTCATTCTGTACAAAAAATCAATATCACGATAAATCTCATTTGCATAAAACTTGATATTTTCCTGCCTCATAAAAATTTCATGCTATTCATTTTCCGATCAATATTCTCGTGTTAAAATATTTTCAGTAAAATTCTCCAAGAAAATTGAATTTTAAACTCGAACTGCATGAAAAAATCCGTCACTCAATAGCTTCCATTCAACAATTTTCCTCATCGTCATTCGATAGATTAACGAAAGCTTTCAATTTAAATGAAAAATGTTCGTCCGATAAAATAAGAAACTTTCATCAAGTCAGAGTAAAAATTAATATTTTATCACTGGTAATTCTAATTGATATTTCAAATTAAAAATTGATTGAAGTACTGACAGCTGAGTGTTGGCTTCAAAAACAGACAAGATCAAAAAAAGATTCAGCAATGATTAATTCATTTCAATTACTCATAGTAATATGTAAAATTTATGAGCTGAAAAAGAGTCAAAGGAACAAAACGAAGCCAAAAAAGCGCATTAAAAATTGTCTGTCAAAAAAATATTGTTTGAATAAATTGCGCCTCAAGACAAAAACCGAGAACGAGAAGAAGACTCAAGTGAATGAAAAATGAAATGAAGGAGGTAAAAGATTTTCGTTCTTCTCTCCCCAAAAAAATCGCATCTCTTGTGAAAAGCATTTACTGAGACTGTGAAAGAGAAAGAAAAAGTTTAGGTCGTTAAACTCAAAAATATGGAGACTATAAAAATTTTTCACTTTTGGGACAGTAATTTTGTTTATTTTAAGAGCCGTAGGGAGTGAGAGAGAAATGAAATTTGAGACATCGGGGTCGTAATCAGGTCTTTTTCTATGGACTTTGAAATTCGCTAATGCTCAACAATACAATGAATTTTGTCAATCAGTCATGCCTTAGCTACATTCCTTAGTAAGCCACACACAAAAAATCCACATCTTATTCCAATTTTATCAGACTTCTACATGCTATGCTGCTTCTCGATTAGAAAATAAACACATGAGAAAGCTATAAAGATGACGGAACATGAAGGCTCATTTTTGATATGAAGGTTAATTAAATCTGTTTTTGTGCCTGTAGATATGCATGTGCTAAGATATTGGGTTTTTAATGATATGTGGAATGTACATTATAAATAGGATCTAAGATTCACAGCTTAAAGTCGGGAATGTCACTCCTTAGATGGCAAAGAATAGTTAAATTTTATAGTTCTTATCCTAGCAACATTACTGCTAATGACCCAAGAAACCACTATGACTCATTCGGGGCAGTTCACTTATGACGTCCAAGGGGGGGGGGGGGGTCAACAAGAAAAGAACAATAGAAATTCCTGGAAATCCATTGTCCTTTTTTGAGAATTGACCGTTAATTACGGAAGTCATAAGTGAACGATCCCTTCATATTCTATTGCTCAGGAGGTCGCGAACTCCTAAATTTACAATGTTTGCCATCACCAAACATCCAAACCATCCCACACTAATCAACTTATTACATTTACATAAACAAGAAGAAGCTGCACATGTTCTAATATAAACATTTGAGGATTTACGTCATTCACTTCATCCATCGGCATGGGATGTTGAATTACATTATGTCTTAGTCATTTCTATAAAAGCAGGTGCATCAATTCTCTACAGATGCATGTGATCGTGACAAATGATGATGGAATCTTGAGAATTTGTGAGAATTGTAAAGTTTGGCATCTTCCTGCACTATGAAAACTATTTACTCTTTTCAATTGCGCTCTAGTTATTCCTTTCATCGGAACTGAACATTTTCCTATCTTTTCAATTTCTCTTCGCACTTGCCATTTTAACGAAAAACATTCAAGTTTATTTTCTATCTTCGAGGTACAAATTTTCCTACACGTTTGTGTATTTTATTACTTGTAAAAGTTTGTTTTTATCAGCAGTCAAAGTGAATTTTTACTTGTTTGTTTACAGATTTATTTGGTACACAAAACTATTAAGCTTTAATTTGGCTGTGAAACTCGTGATTTTTGCATTTGACGTAGAAACTGAAGTGAGAAAAATTTCAAAAATTAGTTTATAGATTGATACATGCTGGCATGTAGCTAGGAAGGTGTCATTGAGGATATATATAGCTTTGGGGATACACTGGGATACACTAGAATCCAGTATCATGTTAAATTAGTAATAGATTAGTCAAAGATCCCCAAATTCACAAACCTAAGGTGTCCATTTCTGCATCATCATAATATGACTATAAATAAAGGTTTGGTTCCATTGAAGCTCTCTAATGCCTCACCTGTCACTGAAAATAACACAAAATTGTATAGTTCACTTAGATTATTTTTGTAGCTTCAAAAATAGCTCATGATAAACATAAAAAGAGCTGTAGATATGTACAGAAGGAAATAAAAATCTATCGCTAAAAATATCGTCTGAGATTCTTATTTTTGATACAAGTTAAATGTTTTTCATATTTTTTTTGAGTAGCCTTGAGTTTTTGATAAAGGTTGAAAAAGGCAAAGAAAACAAGACAAACAAACACCAAAAACAGAAGTATCCAATTTTGATGTAACAAATTCATATTGTTGACTACATAAAGATAATAGTTTTGCAGTAAAAAATTACAGAAGTCCTCGTGTTTTTGATCGAGGGACTTAAGCGCATTTCTGTGTTAGCGATCAGTATTTGATTATCTATTTATTTTGCGTTCATTTACAGATCATTAGAAGATTAGAGATTAGATTAGATTAGTTTATCATTTAACCATTACTTGAGATTCAAATTTTCTAACGGTCAGTAAGTTTTTGAAAGCTTTCCGCCAAAAGATACACAAAAAATCATTAATTATAGTATATTTAACAATTTAATATCTTTAATTCTCATAAATAAATTGTTTATCATTTAACGGTTTTCTGAAGTTTAAATTTTGTAACACTCGTATGCATTTGAAAGTATCTTGCCAAAAGTTACAGTAAAATCATTAATTATAGTATAAATAACAGTCTGTTGCAAAAAATTTTCATACAAAAAGGCTTTGTAATTCAACGGTTTTTTGAGATTCAAAAATTTTAACGGTAGGAATAAATTCGAATTTCTAAACACTCTCATCAAGTGTTTTTTCATATAAAATATAAAAATCATTAATTATAGTATATTTATCAATTTAATATCTTTCATTCTCCTTTATAAATTGTTGATCATTTAACGGTTTTCTGAAGTTCAAATTTTGTAACGATCGTATGAATTTGAAAGTATCTTGCCAAAAATTACAGTAAAATCATTAATTATAGTACAAAAACACTGATTCAAGACTTTTAAATGCGTTTCCCGAAAATAAAACAATGGACCTGAGCTAATAAAACAAACTAGAACTCTCTACGATGTCTAGTTAAAAAGTTTTTCTCCGCCCGAACGAACAGACAAAGTGAGATATTAAGCTACCTTTTAGAAACAAGTTTCAAAAATGCGCTAAAAACAACAACAACATGAGGAAGGAGATGCTCAGCCATTAAAAAATAACCATTTATCCTTAAATTGTTATGTAAATAATAAAAATCAAAATT